TTTTTTCAGGGGTGGGGGGCAGTGCTAGCATTTCTAGTTGATTTGTTGTTGGACATATTTTTGCTCCAGGGGGAGCACTTGGCTTTCCCCGGGGGGCACTGCCCCCCCCCTCCCCGGAGATATAGCTGAAAGAAACCCTGGAGGGCATTAGAATAGGGGGCTACAAGAACAGGGTGCCATCAGATCAGTTTGCCACCAGAATGGGGTGTCACCAGAGCAGGGTGCCATCCAGTGCCATATTTCCTTACAGGCTAAGTAAGCTTAAGCCAAGGACCTCCAACATCTAAGGGACACCGCAATTAGGAAGATAGATTTGAAAGATTACTGCACTTTAAAAAAAAAATAATAACCTTAAAATGTATCATTGAAGATAAAAATCATTTACAAAAATTTAGGTCTGTCACAAAAGATTTAAGTCAATGTAATTGAGCGCACTGCGGTGGTCGGAACATAATTGTCGTAAGGTCCTACAACTCCTGGGGCTGCAGGGACCGCGGATATCTAAGGCGCCCACATGTGTGATGTGGGAAAAAAATAAAATAGAAACTTATTTAATATGTATTGAATACAGCTCAATACAAAAAAAAAACAAAAACAAAAAAGTGGAAAGGTGCCCTCTAAATGTCATGCTATGGCTCTGGAAATATTCACTGACAGAAAGCATGGCTGCCTTACTAATGAATTATTTCACTTCTGAGCTAAAGATGAACATAAAAAAATTGTCAAAGGTCAGTCATAAGAAAATGCTGCCAATGTAAGTACAATGGTATACAATGCTGCCAATATGCTGGTAAGTACGACTGTATACAATGATGCCAATATGCTGCTCAGTGTTTCTTTCAGAAATGTTCCCCCGGGGGGGCACTTCAGATTTTTCGAGGGCGGGGGGGGGGGCTTATTGTTGGACACATTTTTTGCTCGGGGGGGGGGCACTTGGCTTTCCCGGGGGGGGGGGTGGGGGCGGAGATATAGCTGAAAGAAACCCTGATGCTGCTATGTACGACTGTTTATCATGCTGTCAATATGCTGCTATGTACGACTGTATATCATGCTGTCAATATGCTGATATGTACGATGGTATATCATGCTGTCAATATGCTGCTATGTACGATGGTATATAATGCTTCCAATATGCTGGTAAGTACGAATGCTTACAATACTGCCAATATGCTGGTAAGTACGATAGTATATACTGCTGCCAATATGCTGGCATGTACGATGGTATACAATGATGTCAATATGATGGTAAGTACGATGGTATATAAATTGCTGCCCAAATGCTGGTAAGTACGATGACATACAATTATGCAAATATGCTGGAAAGTATTATGTTACACAATGCTGTCAATATGGTGGTATGTACAATGGTATGAAGCAAAAATATGTCACGGGGAAAAATAGCCAATTTTATTTCATGCGCTGACAACTCATTAAATCGAATGGACCTTCCTGCCGCTGATTATTGTCTTGATGCAGTGAACACTGTCTTAAAGGAACCATATCACTTATATATTCTTCTCGCCCGAAACTTAGATATTCTTGTCGTCCTTCACAAAGAGATGGACAGTTTTAAAATCATTCACATTTTGCCTAAATATTTGCCACACAGTCTCAGGAATTCACACAAGCGACAGCCACAGGGGCAATGTTTTTTTTTTAAAGCTTCAGGGCTATCCCTGGTGACATTGGTCATTTACATTTTGATATTAAAATGTGGAAAAAGTGATCCCAGACATCAAGAAAACGATCTCTTTGTTTTTTTAGAACATGAAATATTTGGGTTTGAGATTATGCTAAATGTTTGGGCTTGTGCTTTAAGTTATTTTAATAAAGTCAACGAAACCATTGATACGTCAGAACTATTCTTGAGTTCTTGTGCAACCTTTTACAGACCACTTGATGGATTTAAAAAAAAAAATTATATATCAAAAAAAAAAAAAAAAAGAATTTAATGAATTTGGGTAACATTATTTGTTCTGATTTTAAAAAAAAATGAAATAGAGGAAGAAGAAAGATACGAACAGTTTGTTTGAGAACATGTTTAGTGTCTTTCTTCTTCTTGTTAGCTTTTATTGGCGGGGCGTTGTGGAGACTGTACAATAATAATTAATATTTAGTGCTTGACGGTCAGGTCAGTTAGACTTATCCATATTAAGAAAACATTACAGGTAATAAATTTTGTTGTTGTTGAACGATTGATATATTATAGTATAGAAATAAACTTTATAACTATAACAGTATGACCCTTATATTAAAAATTGTGTGCAAGTGTAAACTAACAAGTCTTAGTGCAAAAGTACTTTACTGTTTTTATTTAAAGGTGTTGGGGTAAAAAAAAGGGGGGGGGGTAACTACACGTTGCCTCAAAATTTAACTAGCATAAGGCCACTGGTTAACTAAATTCGGCCCAGGTGTCATCAGACTATGTTGCAGACAGAACAGGGTGTCACCTTAGCAGGATTCCACCAGTGCTTGGCCGTGAATACCTCCCAATCCTCTGATTAAGCTACACTAACTTCTCACGATGTGTGGCTTTGTGTGAGAAGAGCTTTTCCAAACTAAAATCGATCAAGAAATGTTTGCGATCTACCAGTATTACTACGGAGCAGTGTAGGCTTTGTGGTCTTGCGTTTTCTTGGGGGGGGGGGGGGGTTGTTTTTTTTTTTTTTTTTTTTTTGGGGGGGGGGGGTTGTTTTTTTAATTTTTTTTTATTTTGCAATTGAATGTGATGTGAGACGTGTTGAATTTGATGAAATGTTGTTGAAAAGTTTGAACCTTTGACTGAAGATTAAGAAAGTTACGCCTTAACTAGAAAATATCCATCATATCTCACTTTGGAAGCACCCCCCCCTCCCTTTTTTTTGTAGACACCCTAGCTAGCTAGCAAGCTACTGTAAACGGTTTTTCTAACGGAATCCGATCCCGCACGATTTTAGTAAAGTCTTCCCGAGAAATTCTGGGTAGCCTACACACCTTTAGAAGAAAAAAATATTTTA